GTTCTTACAGATTTTGATTAGTTTACAGACAGCCTGTAGAAGTTGAAGCAGAGGATGAACAGTTTAAATTATTCTGTAGCACCAGATAGAGATATCTGCTAACTTAAAGGAACCCTTATGATGAAATCCAAATTAGTAACATAACGTCATGTTACAAACTGAAGGTGTGGGGAATGAAAAAGATGTAGGGATCGTCTCATGTTAGACAATACACACTGCATTATGAGAAATGTAAGTTCAAGCAATGTTGTATCTACTACGGAATAGGTGCCCTTATAATTAAATGATCCTAATGTTCGAAATATCTTTTTGCGTTGTTGGGTTAGCAAGGCAAAGAAAAGGACTGAATGGAAATAAAAAAGTTAGTGTACTGGTATCTTTCCATTCAGTAGACTTATGCAATAAATATGGACTCGGCCTCAGTCACACATTATGTGGGCTGCAGTTTTGAGAGAAAAGGCTGGATTTATAAATGCAGTACTGCTCAGCGTCTGAACCGCGGGACACTTGCAGCCCACACAGGTGACCTATAAGCGGACTTTGGAAAACATTCCTGTGTAAAACAGGTTTCTTTGGCAGCCTCAGCTAACCGGCAGGTTTCATATGAAATGTATATTCGAAGGTGTCCACAGATCGATATGTTCGAGCGAGGCTGAGCTGTTTTAAAATGTAAAAAAGAAAAGAAAGAGGAAAAACTTCTTCAACAACTTTCTTTAAGGCAGCAGAGTGACTGGCATTGAGCCAGAGATCGAGGCAGTTGAAGAAAGTGATGCCTTGTGAAATAAGCAGGCGTTGGGTGGATGGATGTGACAGCTTTGATTTGCTTTTTCTCACATTCCCTGTCCTGTTAGATGTCCCCTACCTCATGATCCCATCCTATGGCATCTTACATTTGAGCTTCTTTCCTTTCTTTCTCACGGGAGACTACTCTTTTTTATCCTTTTAAGATTGCCTTTGTTTCAATGTTACGGGAATAAAACACGTTTATTCCAAAGTGTGACTTTCCCATCATTTGAAATTGACACCTTCAGAAGCTAAAAGATTAATCACGATAACATTATGATGCGTTTTAAAGGATAGTTTAAATCTTGGGAAATTAGAAGACACAAGATTTTATTGACTGGATAATCAAGATTTTAAAGAGATCAAACGATAAACTTCAAGCCGCATTTGGCAAAGTAGATAAACGCGGAAGCATTTCACAGCGTGGAAGTCTCAGTTTGTTTGCAGATAAACAGATGGCATTTTAACAAGTCTACATAAATCTCTTTGATTGAAGGAAGAGTTGGCATTAAAGACGCAGAGAAAAAACTATGATGCCTTTGGAAGAACATTTCCTATTTCAAAGGCAAATAGAGGACATCTGATTTTCACATTCACATTCAAAGAGAGCAGAATCTTGTAATGGCTGTCAAAGCTAAATTAAATATTACAAATAATAAAATACAGATAAGTGGCATCACAATATATCAAAAGGAACGGGGATGTGGATGTCCTTTGACTTGATGGATGTTAAATGTACACTTTTTGTGAGTATTATTGCCACTTTCCTCATGACAGGATGTTTAAAAGACGTTTGTTAAATGTTTGGGGAAACTGTGAGGTGTTGGGATGCTTTGGTTTTTGAAACAAAATGTGCTCTACTGTGGTCTGATATTTGTGCAGAGCTTGACATGTTTTTTTCCCATGTATGTGTTGAAAGGGTAACAATTCTCTGTGTTCATTGAAGAAATAGAAACCAACATGTAGGGTCATTCGGGCTTATTTCTAGAAAATGGTCTATTGCTGTTTGTTGTTATTTTACGACACACTTCCTTGGGGTCTTTAGAGCTTTTACACTTCACTGAATACAGTAAATAACCCAAACAAGGTTGTCTCTCTGGCGACAGCAATGTGCATCAAGCATTTACTTTTTTAATTCCACCCATCGACCCTGGATCTCAGAGTTACTCCACTGCTTGTTTCAGTCGTTAGGGCACAACCTCAACTCAGTTGTTTTATGCCAAAATCTTTGCAGTTGGTACAAAAAGAATGGCCGCCTCCACTGTATGACCACCTGCTACGATTATCTGGATAGGAATGTCCATTCTACACCTCTTATATTCCTTTGCTGCTAACCTTAATTAAACCGGGACATGATTTTGTAATATCACGGCTGAAATGATTCTTCAAAGCAGTGTTTTAATATGTTTTAAGGCATGTCTAGAGGGGGTCTTTAAATATAACTGACAAACCATAAAACTATGATAGGTATTTAAGTCGTACCATTATATTTTGAAACAGTGTGATATAAAAAATTAAAACGTTTTTGCCAGATCTGATTATAAGTGTGCCGAATAATTGTAATTATATCACTTCCTTCTGATATTCTGTATGGTCCATCAAACCATATTATTATCACTAAAATCCACATTATTGTTTAACCAAAATATCCTAAGATCACATATATAGTGTAAAGATGTCCTGATCTTAGATGAAAATTGGTTTAATGTTTTCTAAGTTAATGAACTACTTGAGTACAGACTAGTTCCTGTAGGATTTACATTATAGAGATATAACATTATATGACCATTCAAAAGCACAGGTTTATTACCTAATCAAAGATGTACCTTTCAGTCTCTCTCACAAATGGATGTAATTGCTCATTTTCAGATTGCCTCATGCATGTTGTTGAACACAAATAGGAGTTAAAGGATGCACTTAAAAGGAAAGTAGAAGAGGAAGGCAGAAGGTATGTAGTTGATGATACAGTGATGACTTGTACAGATTGGATTCTCTTGCCTCTCCTTATAAAGAATGAGGCCAGACGTCATCACTAGAGGTGACTCTCTGATTGGTTTCTGCAGGGAAAGCACACCTGCAGTCAGAGCTGCACTTACACAAACCTGTCAAATGCTTCAGCTTCTTTTCTCCGAGTATCACAGCAAGGCCTTATCTTATCCACTTCAAACAGCGATGCCTCTTGTGATGAATCTTCAATGCGTGAGAACTGGAAAACTATTATCTGGACTTGGCAGTTTTTCGTTGGCTGACCAATCGTCCCACAGTTTCCCCTCGCTCTTGTTCCCCATCTCCATAAATTGTACCCCTCTCTCCCTGTTTCCCCCTGTGATGAGCAAACAGACCTCCTGTTAGCAAAACTCTCGCATCTAACGCCTCACAAAGAGAGGACAATTTGTACTGGCCTCGCTCAGACTGCTCAGTATTACTATGGTTACTGCTTATTGTGTTTCAAAGGCATGTTTTCTGGCCAGATAATAGATAACCACAAAGCATTTAACTGCAATTAGTTAATTCATGTTTCAATTAGCACGTTCATATTTATAGATATGCTGTGGTTTGTAGCTATTATCGTGTGTAGCATGTTTCAATCACATAATTAGCATACATAGAGCAACACATGTATATTTAACTGTGACGATGCATGTGTGAGTGTGTTTTGAATGAATCTCCCTCAGATGTGTGAGCTGATGTGACATTGGGAGCTTTGTCTCTGATAAGCTGTCATTGAGCTGCCGGTGGGAGGAGGTTGCTGTCCATGCTGAGCAGCAAGAAAACAAGCGGCCTATTGGCGAGGGGCCATAAAACGCACAATTATTCCTGGGTCAATGCATCAGGGGTTTCTCAAAGACAAAAAGGCAATCAATGAGTGGCTTTGTGCTTATTACATTTGGGCATTTTGCAGGAGGCAGTTTAATTCCGGCTGAGAGAGAAAGGATAAATGGCTGGGAGGATTTACAACGGGGAAATCTTTATCCTATAGGTCAGCGTAGGGTCAGGCTAATCACTGATATGGCACTGTGACCTCTGACCTTTCATCTCTTTACCATCATCTGCCTCTTTTGTGGCTGAGCTTTGAACTGACGCTTATTCCGGAGCCCTGATTTGACTAAAAACTCTGATAAAACACCATAAATGACTCCAGTGTTGTGGTTTAAAGAGCCCTGGTTGGCGGTGTATAGGAGGGTACCAGGCTACCCTCTAGTGGCACAGGGAAGCGATGAACCGTGTCCCTAAATAAGTTGTTGTATGCCTCAAAAGGATAAAAGGGGTGAACGGGATACTGAAAACCGATGGGAGGAAAAGTCCTTTGTGGCGTAAGGCGACGCCGTGTTGGGAAATCCTTCCAGTGCGAGATGTTTACTTTATATGCAAATCAGACACCAGAGGTCTTATTTTAAGGCCTCCTTTTTCCCCCTGACTTTTCAAGAAAGAAAGCTTTGATGTTGGCAGGAAGGATCGATGCCAGGGAGAGAAAGAGGGGAGGAGGAGGGAGGAGGCAGGATGGAAATTTAGGCTGCTTCCAAAGGAGGGGTTTGGAGAGCCTTGAATCATGGATCCTAAGCTTTATGAAACACAAGTGTCCATGGGGGGCTACAAGGGACGTTATTTAACGCCTCCCTTCGTCCCCCTATAGTAGCTACGCATCATCTGCAAATAATAAAGTTTGTAGGGTCGCATCGCTTTCCCCAAAGGATGCTGGGTACACAACTGTTTTGACCTTACTGCGCCATTTATTTCTGTTTCATTTAGCCCAATCTGTCGGAGCAGTTGCGGGGTGAATGGGTGATGTGAGGTTTCTCCGCAACATCCTTCTGTCATTTCAGGCCCGCGGAGCCGCTGCGGAGGAGCAACTTTATGAGGACACACACACACACACACACACACACACACACACACACACACACACACACACACACACACACACACACACACACACACACACACACTACAAAAAGGTTCAAGATCAAGTCGGCTCGTCTGACAATCTTTGCAGGATGTGTGCAAATAAGCGCATTAACCTCCATGCAACACCGATTATTATACATGGTTTTATCATGTAAAAAGGCCACTCAACACATTGATAGAAGTCCAAAAACTCTCAGAATAAGAAATAATCAGCCAACAAGTGCAGAGGAAGCAGCAGACACCCTGAAAGCACATAATCAATTAATGATTCAAATAAAAAAAAACGCACGGTATAATCCGCATCTACTTACATAGTGGTGATGTTTTTGAATAACTCTGCTATGTCAATACTGGTCCCATTGTTCCCAGTTTCTTGCAGGGCCAGTAAAGGGAAAAACCTGCCGTTGTCGGACTTATTGCAATAGATCTCTATTTGAGAGCAGCTGCAGGTCGGCGGGCAGTCCAGCATGGAGCTCAGATAGTCCTGGAAAACACTCATCAGGAACAAAACCCTCCACCAGCAAATCCGGATCGAGTGAAACCATAGATCCATGTCTCCGGGTTGAAAGGGGGGAGAAGAGGTCCCGATGTCCTCTGGGTTAGAACAGAAACAGGAGAGAGGAGAGAGGAGGAGAGTGGGAGGAAGGGAGGAAGGAGGAGGATGGTGCGTACAGAGGAGGCTCTATGTGAGCGTATCTGCCGGTAAGGATGGATGCTGTAGTGTCCTTGCGCGTCAGAGATTTGGTGAAAAAAAAAGAAAACTCAAAAATAAGAAAGGGACATAATAACGCGAGGCTCCGGTGGTCCTCCTTTCAGCCGCAGACGCATGGTGCTTCCCCCGGAATCCGTGTTGCTGATGCCGTCGTGTCTCTCCGAGCAGGACCAGGACGACTGGCTGGAGCGCAGAGAGAGAAACCAAATGAGAAGTTGGAGCATCAAGTCCCTCCTACCGGCTACAGTCACTCTGACACCTGCAGACACCGCAGGCTCCACCGCGGGAGAGAGGGTGAGCCACAGAGCTACAGAGAGAGGGGCATCAGGAGAGGATACACATGGAAACAAGAAATATCCACATCATATAACAAATAAATGATAGGGACATTATATTGACGGTTAAGTGCATAAAAAAAACCAAGAATCACCATAACTACGGAAGCCCTGGACTGGCGATGTGCGAGATGTGACCATTACACCATTATAATAAGAGGTTTAATGTGTTGTGTTGTGGTCTGTCTTTTTTACAATAAATATAAAGGACTATTGGAAATATTATAATTTACTTAAACTATGGGATATATGCTTGACTAGAATGACTTGTAAGAAAGTATTTTGTTTAAAATCCTTATAACAAGCTTTGGAATGGGTTTTGATTATTGTCATAAGTTTATATTATACTTAATTAACATGAACAGTGAATATATACATTTCAACAGAATAAAATTAATATTTCACATTTACTTATCAACAAATATCGATTTAACAATATTAATAAACACAATTGAAGTCTTTATGCAGACACTATTTACATTATTTGTGTGAAAATTGTGATTCTTTTGACTGATGCATGTGATATGATTCACGATTTTGGAGAAAATAATCACCAAAAAAGGTTGTTACAATTATTAGGATGCAATATATATACAGTACCAACATACTACACATATTTGTATTTTGACACATATTGCCTTAACACATATTGGTCTTTTTCCGATCTGTTTATTTTGCGATATCAATACAATTGCGTTTAATTGTGCCACCCTATCCTAAACTGCCATCAGTTAAAGATTTGACTACCCCTGTTGACCCATGACATGTTACTGTGACATGTCTCCATGCTCTAATGTTCAAAAAGCTCTTTATTCTTCTCATACTGCCTGTGCTGCAGCACCTCTTTTCACCCTCTGTCTGAAACCAGAGCCCAGTCTGCTCTGATCGATCAGCTGGCCGGCTCTGTTGTGATTGGTCAATTGCTTAGAGATGTCCCGCCCCTTAGCCTATCACGTACAATGTGTTGGAGCGTAGCCAATAGAAGCGCGAGTGTTACATCGTGATGTCAGCGATCATGGGCTCCCATATAAATACAAATGGTCATTCTCTTTTCTATTACAGTTTGAGATAAATAACACAAAAACGTACGATAATGTCAATAAAATCTCACTAAATCCATAGTCATTAGATCGGTGTAGAGAAATTACGGAAAGATAAATGGCGGTGGATTCAATAAAAGGACTTTTACCACAAATCAACAGAAAAATGATCTTTAATGTAAAGTGTAAACTCTTCTCTGTCACATTCACAGTTCATTATTTCTGCATAAAGCCTGTGGAAAAATGTAATCATAAGAAATGACTGAGGAAAAGCTGCAGATAGAGCCATAAGAAATGAATGCAACTGATTATTTAATGTTTCATGTTGTTTATATAGGCAATAATTTAAGCTTTGTTAGTTCCAGGTTTAATACGTGCAATAAGTTCATTTCAATAAGTTTTGCAATAAACATTGAACCAGTCCGGCCCTCGAATAGTACCCATTTTAAAATGTTGGCCCACTGTGTAGTTTGACACCCCTGCTGTACAGGGAGTAGGCCTACTGTTACCATTTTTTTAATATCTAACTTTATCCTGTTAAATCTGTAACTCCCGTGGCCTGGTTGTCAGTGATGGTGGTTGAGTTGCTAATAACAAATGGGAACAACACTCCTCTTTATGTGAGGAAGGACACTAATCAATATTTACAACCGTTATCACTGAAGACTAACAGCCTCGCCCTGGTGTTGCCTGGAGACAGCACGTGTTTTGGGAAGCTCTTCTTGCTTTAACTTACTGACACAATTTCCACAAAACCGCAGTCAACAGCAGAGGAACTGAAACAAGTGTTCTTGCATGTAACTCTCTGTAATGTTGTCCAGTATCACCATTTTGGGGTTGAATGTCAATGACACATTATTCTTGCTAAGTGTGCACTTCAGGTCTAAAGTCCAACCGTGCTCTGATCCTGAGGCACAATGTCAACATTCACCAGAATACCACACACATAGTGGAGTTGAAACATGTTTCAGTAAATCATGCTTTTCACAATCCCCTCTTTAGTAGCACTTAATATTGATCTATTACAGCACGCTAAGTAACTGAGATTTACAACTGAAGACCCATCTTTTCACATTGGCTTTTACTTGAGATGTAGTGATGTGTTCTGTTCTTATGTTTATTCCTTTCTGGACTCTCTGTGTTTTGTTTTTATGTTAACCTTAAATTCTGCCTCATGTTGTTACTGTATTCATGTTGTGGTCTTAATTTTAACTTTTGTTCTTTCTTGTGAAGCACTTTGTGAATGTTATTTATGTGAAAGAGAATATATTATTAATATTATTACAGCAAGCTAAGTAACGGAGATTTAACTACAATTACCTCCTTGTAGGACCTTAACTAAACAGCAGTATGAGAAAGCGGTAACTTGTCTGGCTCATATTCAACAGAAGACACCACAGTGAGTCACACAGAGCGTTGCGACTTTAGACTGGTTGCGACCTATCCCTGCCTCTGTTTAACCAAGTTATCAGCTTCTCATTACGCCTCCCAAACCCATCCCTCCCAGTATTTAGTTTATGCGCCCACTGCAAACACATTTCCGTCTTTGGGTCAGTTTCTGTCAGAACCTCCCTCTGAAAGCAGCTCAAACTTTGCTGAGTTATTTTTCCACTCTGACAACATGTGCACTGGAAAATGTTCCCGTTGCGTTGCCGTGACTCTGTATCCATTGGCATTTATATCCATCATCTGTAACATCGTGCTGTTTTTTCCCGGCGGGGACGTGAAGTACGCCCAAGATGGACACATTACTGAGGAGGTGAAGTACATGGGGGGACTCATCGGAGGAGGAATAATGGTGAGTGTTTTTCCTCTACTCTGTTTGTGCAGGGCGTGACTCTGGGACGCACACTGCCTTAAATTAGTGTCTGGAATGTGCAGCCTCAAAAGTATTGTAGATATGTAAACTAAATCACACGAATAATGGATGTTAACAGCAGTGCAGTGCGCATGTAATAAGTTTAATGCAGTTTGAAGTTTTTACTTTACTTTTTAACTCTTGCTTTCTTTACCAAGCTTTTTTTATTTGCATTTTTTGCAATTACTTAACCCTCTTAATGTTTTCTGTTCTCTACTTTACCCATTTTTCCCCTCTCTCATCAAAGATATAAACTTGGTTTCTTACTTCATGGTTATTTTTTACATTTCCTTTACCATATTCTTCCATTGTGCGTCATTATCTTTTAACTAGTTCCTTGTAATTTGTGCAATAACTGCTAATCAACTTCCTCTTGACTGCCTTTTAATTTTTTTATTTTACTATACTTACTTGTTTGCCTGTCCTTGTTTGTCTATCCTCCCTCATATTGTAAAGCGTCTTTGAGTTGTGAAAAGCGCTATATAAATAAAATGCATTATTATTATTATTATTACTCTTTTTCCAAGGAATAGAGCAGGGATCCTTTTTTGGATGTCCTCTGGGATTTTCCCACTGTTTTTGTTTACCGAAATACCATAAACAGTTGGCATTTCTCTTACAGCTATTTCCCAGAACCCACTGAAAACTGTGCAAGACCTAAATATATGACTTTGGCTTGCTCCTTGTCCTACAAGTTAAAAATTGAGTGAACATGAAGAATTGTTTTGTATTATTGTCCTGTTCCAGGTGCTGCTCCCTGCGCTGTACATCCACCTAACGGGGACGCAGGGCTGCTGTGGGAACCGCTGCGGGGTGAGTCTGAAAACACTGTTTCAGGAGTTCAGTGAAAAACGAGTGACGAATGCTGGGTGTTTCTCAATCTTGAGTAAAGCTGCTGCAGAGCCACTATTTCAAGCATACTACGTCATCGAGTGCCACCGAAGTATTGTTCCAATGTCCAGCATACTTGGAATTCTACAGAGCCCGGCGTAGGCCTACTTCGTTTGGAGAAATGTCGAGGCTGCAAATGTGTAGACTCCGCCGTCTTAAAATCCCTACAATGCTTTGCACACAGACCAATTTCCCCAAATAGGAGACTCTAGGGAGAGTTCAGTGGAGAAGTTAAGTGGAGAGGTCACTTGAGAGTTCAAAGGAGAGCTCAAAGGAGAGTTCGGGAAAAAGCTCGAGATGAGTCACGGCAACCCTCCAAGGCGACCCCCAGGACGGTTGGAGGTACAAGACAGAGCAACCCCTAGGGCGGCTGACGAGCAGGACGGCCCCAAGCCGGTGAGGTACCAGGACAGGGCAACCCCCAGGGCGGCTGATGAGAAGAGGCACCCAGGACGGTTGAGATGACAGGACACGGCAACCTCCGGGGCGGCTGATGAGAAGACTGCCCCAGGACGTTGAGATACAGGACAGGCAACCCCCAGGGCGGCTTGATGAGAGGACGGCCCCAGGACGGTTGGGATACTGGACAGGGCAAACCCCAGGCGGCTGATGAGAAAGACGGCCCCAGGACGGTTGGGACACAGGAACACGGCAACCCCCAGGGCGGCTGATGAGGTAGAGGGCCCCAGGACGAGGATGGGCCGCCCCAAACACACACACAAGGTCCCGGCCGGGAACCGTATCCGTCATATCCACTTACGATTCCCACGTAGTTTAGATTACCCCCGCGGCTTTTAATTTTTTTGTTTGTTTTTCCAAATACACTTTCCCAAGAAAAAAACTTTATTACCAAAATCACACGTTAATATCCAAAATCACAACACATAAAATATAATTTTTTATTTAGTTTGAGGGTTTTTTTCATATATCCGATGTCGAAAATAAGATTGTAACCTTAAATGACCTTAAAGGTCATGTGAAGGTAAGTGGTAAAAAGGAGTAACAGGTGTTACAAATAGTAGTACTTTAAGTATAGATATATAAAATATGATATGAACGAGACGAATGGCAAAAGTATGAAATATATATAGAATCGTATAAGTATGTGTGACAACAAGTATGACGAGTGTCCGACGACATATATAGAGCACGTCCCCAGCCGTTGGAAAAACTATACTCACGGTAAAATTTTTTTTTACAATAGTCGCAACGGTTGCTAGCTCTTAATAAGTTGCCTCCCCCCCCCCCGCCAACTCACGGACTGCGAACACTTGATAGTCGTCCCTCCCGACCCCCTCGAGCGACGCCCCTTCGTCACACACCTGGACAGTCGCGTTGAATGTACTACGGCTTAAATTGTTTCTGTAAATTTATTAAGCAAATTTGCCGTATGTAATTATTCCTGCTAGCAGGCGAGACAACTAAGAGGGTCTCGTGTGGTACAATACTATAATCCCAGTAAAGCTCACTCTACTCTAGCGACAGGGCAAATTCTCTCTTCTCTCTCCCCACACCGAACACGTACACACGCACACCTACCATCTCGCTGTCACTCCCTTGCACACATACAAAGACCCTTCAACTTAGCTCCTTCGTCTTTTGTCTCCAGACACTACATAAAACACTTTGTCTTCTTGTCGATTTATTTACCGTTGCCGGAGGTCTTCTCGAGCCGAGAGAGGTCAGTAAATTCGATTTTCACCCAATAACTTGGAACTTCGAACAACGAAGACGGGAGGAGCTGATGCCAGACCCTCGGCTGTCCTTTCAAGTTGTGTGTCTACCGGTCAAGGCGTCCCCAACGGCTGGGAACTTAGAGCACCATAAGTATGGTAAGTGACAATACGTAGTAAGTAATTAAGATATAAAATAAGACATTCTAACACATCGGATAATGATATATAAAAAAATTAATTTAAAAGTGAAATGACGAACAACGGTGAGGACCAATCTTCGATTTGACGTAAAGCAAGCCTACGCTAGCACGATAAGAGCAGATGAAAGCTCGCTCGCGTCGTAAACAGAGTTTGTTCGGATCACAAGACGTAAAAACCCCCCCCCCCCCGCGGTCGTTTTAGAAACGGATCCCGTCGTTTACCAGTCCGGCCGAGACACACACAGATGCTTCCGGGTCAACAATATCTGTTCCGCCAAAGAGTTACAGCTCATGCGAACGAACATCGTGTAGGAAAGCTGCTAGAACGAAGTCATCGCCTCCGTTCTTATGAAGGACCGTAAGCTCACCCTTGTCCGATCGTTCACACGTTCCACACGAGATACTCTCCGGGACGGAAAGTA